TAGAAGTGTTGATACCTCCGGCTTACCCCCCCCCCCCCCAACCTTCTTGTCTTACATTGTATTGTATCTGTACTGTCCCCTTTATATTATGAAGGGCAAGCTGCTGGCACCATATAAAAACTATCATAATTATAATTGTGACTCTGAAATCTTCTCCCTTACTATTATTAGTGTTATTGGCAACTTGAAGATCTCCCTAAAATCACACCCTTCCGATAATCCTATCATATCCCCAAGTCACCAGGCACCTCAGCTTACCTTTATATCCACCCAACCCTCCTGACTCATTTATTCATTTCCTCCTGGTTATTTATCACTCCCTTGTCACTGCCTTATTCATCAGGGATGACATCCCCCCCAGGCTCCCCTAAACAATTTGTAAACTCTGCAAGGGAACTCCCTGCAGGACACTGCACAGACTATACGGGGGAGCTCCCTGCAGGACACGGCACAGACTATACGGGGTAATCCCCCGCAGGACACTGCACAGACTATACGGGGGAATCCCCCGCAGGACACTGCACATAGTATACGGGGGAGCAGCTCCCTGCAGGACACTTCACAGACTATACGGGGGAGCTCCCTGGAGGACACTGCACAGACTATACGGGGAAGCTCCCTGCAGGACACTGCACATAGTATACGGGGGAGCAGCTCCCTGCAGGACACTTCACAGACTATACAGGGGAGCTCCCTGCAGGACACTGCACAGACTATACGGGGGAGCTCCCTGCAGGACACTGCACAGACTATACGGGGGAGCTCCCTGCAGGACACTTCACAGACTATACAGGGGAGCTCCCTGCAGGACACTGCACAGACTATACGGGGGAGCTCCCTGCAGGACACTGCACATAGTATACAGGGGAATCCCCCGCAGGACACTGCACAGACTATACGGGGGAGCTCCCTGCAGGACACTGCACAGACTATACAGGGGAGTACCCGCAGGACACTGCACAGACTATACAGGGGAGCTCCCCACTGGACACCCCCTTCCGGTGCATGAACTGTGACAGCACTGGTCTTGGTGCCGCATGTAAATCAACGCTAATTAGCTTTTCGTCTCCTACAGAGCCACATAGTCAACCAATAGTAAGGGGATGGGGTGTGCTGTCAACCAGTAAGGGGAGAGAGTGTGCTAGCTCTGGATCCAAAGCACCTGTCAGAACGGGACAAAGTGCAACATGCACTTTGTCCCCCGGAGGACAGAATAAAGTATACCGGGGTTCGCTCACCTCTCGATCCTGTCACGGCTCTCTGCCGTGACAGGGGAGGGGCTGGATTCTCCCCTACCCGCTCCGATCCGCCAGCGCTGACTGGCGGAACGGACCGGGGAGGGGGCGGGTACAACTGGCTCTGCCTCAAGATGTCAGTCACGCAGCTGGGGGGATCCAGACATAATTGGCGGGATCCGCTTCAGCTGCGGCGTCTCGGTATACCGCGAGCTGTAGCTCTCTATATACTGAGCTTTGGGTGACGGGAGGACGCTAGTTGTGTCCTCCCGTTACCCTAAGGAGAACTATGGGGAAAAGCCCTGACCCCATAGTTCTCCTTTAAGAAAGTCCTCTTCAAGTTGTTCTTACGTGCTCTTGTAGTATTTTTGTAACCAATTAAATTGTAATCTTTTAAGAACAAGGACCTCATACATGTTTGCTTTTATGTTATACTGTTTGTTTGCTGCTCATCCCTCTGCAATCATTTAACCACTTGCTGTCCGGGGCATTTTCTTACTCGTTGCACACACATGATGATAAAATATACATTTTTGGCTAGAAAACAGCTTCAGACGCCCAAACAATGATATATGTTCTGAAAGCAGAGGCCCCACGTAGAATAAAAAGACGCTAGTTAGAATTTTTTATGTCGCACTGTTTTTGCGCAAATGTTTATCAAACCAGTATTTTTAGGAAAAAATAAACTAAATGAAAATTTAGTGCACAGAAAGAGAATATAATACCTAACTTTTTGGTAAAATATAAAAGACGGGGGTCACGCCGGGTAAATAGATACCAAACATGTCAAGCCTTAAAATTGCGTCCGCCTGTGAAGCCGCAAAAAAAGTCAATACCCCAAATTTCCCATAGGGAACAATTTAAACACTTTTACCGCTCATCAGTTTAGTGATTGACTGTGCTAGAATTATTCCTCTGACTCCGAAGTTCGCACGTGTGTGTAGCGCAATTGTCGTTTTCACACGTAGGCGCACTGAAACGTGTTTATGTGTGTGCACGTGGGGGGCGGGGGACTTTAAACAATTTTTTTGCATTTTTTAATTTTACTTATGTTACTTTAATCTTTATAATTTTTAAACACATTTTTTTTTTTTTTACACTAACCCTATCGCCATCACTTAGGGAGCTAACAAGCACCCTACGTAATAGCAGATAGTGTGTGACAGGTCCTCTTTATGGAGACATCAGGGGTCTTTCAGCCCCCTAATGTCAACTAGGGACCCCAAAGAAGCTGAGGAAGCCAAGATCTGCTTCCCCAGCTTCATCTCCTGGCTCTAAGAGCCAGAGACTGTAACGAGTGACACCGGAGGTGATGTAATACACATCACTTCCGGGTCTAGCAGCTCCCGGGCTCCGCACGGGGACAGCGGTTCCCTGGGAAACCAACGGCGGCCGCGGCGTGGGGGAGGGCTCCGCGCGGTATAAACACTCCGGCAGCTGTACAGACGCCGGATCGCGTGTACATTAACAGCAATCGTCTGCTGTTAAAGACTACACCAAGAACACGGCTGCTGCAGAAGCCGTGTTCTTGTTTTAACCACTTTTGTGGGCCGCCGTCTATAGGCGTATTGCGGCCCGGAAGTGGTTAAAGTAGATGACGGCGCTAAATAATCTGAGCCGACCTGTGACAATGAAACTGTCACAGGTCGGCTCAATAGATCGGGAAGTGAGCAAACACATACCGTCGCTCGCTCACTTCTCGATCTATCCCTGCAGAGAGCTGTGACTGTCACTCACTGCTTCCTGCAGGGATTCCCTCCTCCCCTGTCCGATCCTCCAGCACTGACTGGCGGAACGGACGGAGGAGGGGGCGGGCACAGCTGGCTCTGCCTCTGGATAGGCAGAGCCAGCTGTCAATCCCGCAGCTGGGTGGATCTCAACAGTAATGTCGGGATACGTCCCGTTTGCGGCGTCTCAGTATACCGCGAGCTGTAGCTCGCGGTATACTGAGCTTTGGGTGACGGGAGAACGCTAGTTTGTGTTCTCCCGTGACCCTTAGGAGAACTATGGGGAAAAGCCCTGACCCTATAGTTCTCCTTTTAAAGCGAGCAATCATTTCTGGCTACTCTTTCATTTTGTAATCATGAAGCCCAATAGCGAGCTCACATACAGCTCCACACCGCCATCTTGTGGTAAAGAGAGGTATGGTTGTATTTTAACGTTGGGGAAAGCTAGAGATAACAGGATAATGTGAAGAGATCCGGCATTAAAAATTGATTACCATGAAAGGCTGAAGGATGAGGTGCGTTCATCACTACGAGACGAGAGACCATGTTGTGGTGACGGACGGCGAATGTCCACGCCAAGGTGCCCCCCCAGTCATGGCCGACTAGAACGCAGCTGGAGTAACCTGTGTGAGAGAGGATAGTGACTATTTATCATGGCGTACAGCATGTAAACATTCCGTCTCTGCTTTGTTTTAGGAGACACGCACACACAAGAGCCTCACCAAGTCCCGTAATCAGATCTCTGACATCCTGCAGCAGAGTCTCCATTTTGTAATCCAGCAGCTCAGATGGTGCATCGGAGCCTCCAAATCCTCGGAGGTCAACAGCAACAACCCGGTATCCCCGGGAAAACTCGTCCAGCTGGTACCGCCAGGAATACCTGCAAAGGAAACAGTCCTACAAGTCAGTGATAGGTAACGAGAATCATAAAAAGCACCATTAAGAGAAGCAATCTGACACAAGAGCATCTCATGGTGAGTATGAATTCCATTAAATCTGACCTCCGGCCTCCCCCTCAGTCTTCTATCTGACCTCCAGCCTCCCCTTCAGTCTTCTATCTGACCTCCGGCCTCCCCTTCAGTCTTCTATCTGACCTCCCCCTCAGTCTTCTATCTGACCTCGGGCCTCCCGCTCAGTCTTCTATCTGACCTCCGGCCTCCCCTTCAGTCTTATATTTGACCTCGGTCCTCCACTTCAGTCTTCTATCTGACCTCCGCTCTTCCCTTCAGTCTTATATTTGACCTCGGGCCTCCCCTTCAGTCTTCTATCTGACCTCCGCCCTTCCTCTCAGTCTTATATCTGACCTCCGGCCTCCCCTTCAGTCTTCTATCTGACCTCCGGCCTCCCCTTCAGTCTTATAGCTGACCTCCGCCCTTCCCTTCAGTCTTATATTTGACCTCGGGCCTTCCCTTCAGTCTTCTATCTGACCTCCGCCCTGCCTCTCAGTCTTATATCTGACCTACGGCCTCCCCTTCAGTCTTCTATCTGACCTCCCCTTCAGTCTTCTATCTGACCTCCGGCCTCCCCTTCAGTCTTCTATCTGCCCTCCCCTTCAGTCTTCTATCTGACCTCCGGCCTCCCCTTCAGTCTTCTATCTGACCTCCGCCCTTCCCTTCAGTCTTCTATCTGACCTCCGCCCTTCCCTTCAGTCTTCTATCTGACCTCCGCCCTTCCCTTACCCTGGCTTACTCTGATTTCACTGCACACTGCGAGCTTCTCACAATGTGCATTAGAAGCTGCAAGTCAGATAGAGCCCGCCTCACTTCCTGGCCTGACTGTCCCTGGTGCACCCCTTTCCTTCATAGGAGGAAAGGAACCGAGGAAGGTCAAATATAAGCAGATTCAACTTCAGCTTTAACTAGAAATGAGTCATTTGTTTTACCCTGACCATAACTAGCCCGGATCGGGCAGCAGAACCAGTATCAGAATATTTGGGGAAGTAGCCTTATCCCCTGGGCAAATCAATTCTCCTGCTACCTGGAAAAAATGTACCACGTGCAGGCAGAGGCGGCTCGCTAATTAGGCGGGTTAGGCGGTCACCTAAGGCCTCGCCCGCACGGGGTGGCCTCGCAGCTGCCTAACTCGCCCG